GGGAATGCCCATCCCGCAGTATCCATATGGAGAGAGCAATTCAGGGGTCACACCACAGCCCAGACCCCCGGAGGACACTTGGGCCCCCCCCACCATCTACGGGGCGCAGCCGCCTTACGCGTGGCCCGCGGCCCCGGCGCACGGGAACCCCTTCGTCTCCGATCCGCAGCCGTCCTGGACTGGCAGCAGAGCTCCCCCCCACCCTCCTGCGTGGGACACCAAGGGACAGATGATGCTTCTACAGCAGGTCTGTGCCGGGTCCCAGCTGTGGCCAGACCTCCAGGATGACACAGCTTTCCTCAAAGGCTGTCTCTGTCCCCTGGGAATGTCCCTGTCTCCAGGAACAGTTGGTTTAGGTAGAAACACAGCAGCAGGTACCTGGTGTTGAGTCAGAGAATTGTTTTGGTTGGAAAAAGACCTTTAAGATCATCGAGTCCAACCATAAACCCAACACTGCTGAGTCCATCACTAAACCATGTCCCTCAGCACCACATCTACACATCTTGTAAATACCTCCAGGGATGGTGACTCAACCACTTCCCTGGGCAGCCTGTTCCAGTGCTTGACAACCCTTCCCGTGAAGAAATCTTTCCTAATATCCAATTCAAACCTCCCCTGGTGCAACTCGAGGCCATTTGAGTACTGCCAGCAAAATCTGTTTGCATACAGAAAGCCAAATCCAGGGCTGTAATTCCAGGAAGGTACTGGAAGTACCAGATGTCCCAGGGCAGGTTTTGAAATGGGTCAGACTTTGTCTTGCTTGTCCAGCTCTTTTCTCTCAAGCAGCCAGCACTGTCAGAATCCTCCTGTAGAGTGTGGGACTCGCCTGGGGGTCAGTTCACAGACTCTGGTGTTATTCTGCAAGTGCTTGTTTTGGGCACAGTCCTCTCCTGAGGAATCTTTTAAGTAGAAGAATAGAAGGAAACGATGCATTTGGTGGGGTCTGTTCATCTCAGCTTCCTCAGGGTTTGATCTGGAGTCTCCAGAGGTTTGGTGCCCAGGCAGCAGCGCTGAGGGGGGATGCCTGGATTTGGGGGTGGGAGCTGCTGTTATTTGGGAACAGTTGGAGAGTGTGCTATCTGCAGAGAAGTGTCTTCTCCAGTAGATCCAAAGGGGACTGTGCTGGAGTCTATTTAGCATCTCCCCTGTTCATGGGTAACGAGTGTTCAGTGGCTCACGCTGACGTGGGGATCTGCTCTTTAATAGCCAGGGGTGGTGTGTGGGTCCCATGTCCCTCTTTGGGACTTCTCACAGAAACCAGCCCACTTGGCAGGACACAGGGTGCCAGCCCATGGGGACACGATGTGTTATGACATCACAGTGTGTGACAGTCTGAAATGCTGCCCAGATCCTGGGCAATGTCATGCCTAACGTGTCTGCCCTGTCCTCCCAGGCATGCGCACCTCAAAGCAGTCACAGTGTCACCTGCTGCCCATGCCCTCAGCCCTGCTTGCCAGTGCACGATGAAAAACCTGGCTTTAAGGGAAACACACTTAAAGAACATCTTTTTTCCCCCTCCTGACTGTAGGATACTGCTTATGACAAACCTGAGCACGGCGCAAACCAACACAACTACTATTCCGATGTCAATCACCAGCACTCTGGGACAATGAACGACCACAAAGCAGCCACCCCGCTCAACCCCAGGCCACCCCCCTCAAACCCCAAGGTGCAGTACAGTGCACAGCCCCAAATGTACAACACAGCATCTCGGAAGCTTTCAGCTGGGAACCGGGAGGCTGGATTTAAACCTGCTGACCAGCCTGCGACAAATTCTGCAGCCATCCAGCCAGAGATTCAGAGAATTCTCCACGTTATGGGGGAGGCTGAACAGTTGGAGCAAGAGGTGGATGAATTTGTAGGAAAAAAGACAGATAAATCCTACCGGCTTCTAGAGGAGATGTTGACCAAGCTGCTGTTGGAACTGGATTCCATCGAGACTGGTGGCCAGGACGGTGTTCGGCAGGCCAGGAAAGAGTCCGTCCACAGAATTCAGGCCATACTGGAAAAACTGGAAAGAAAAGGATTATAAAAGCACATCAGCCACAGCACACAGCCTATTGTTGAGATCCCAAAGAGTTTTAGTTCTGTTAGATCTCAGCTCTTTCTGCTACACACTATTGACAATGGAATAGCAATAAGCCCCGAGTTAAAAAAAAGAACGAAACAAAACCACCCCCAAAAAAAAAAACCCCAGCCCAGAAGCCCAACCCCAACAAATAACTTGACAACAGAGAAATAAAGAGAAGTCTGAAGCAGTAAACTGAACTGTTTGTTTGTTCCAGGCTTTGGAAAGGCAGCACCCGAGGTACTTATGCTGTAGAGGTCTCCATAGGGATCTGCATCCTCTTCATCAGCAG